AATAGGGACTAGCACAGAACACCAGGTCAAACTCTCACAGCACCGTGAGCCTCTCCTTCCTGACAATGGTCACAGCTGTATTCGACATTTGCCTGATATTTGACTGACAAGCTGACCACTATTCTGAGCACTCTGTTTGTATTACTTTTCTTCTCATCATTATCATTCCAGGCCCAGAAAAGTTTTCCAACTTGCCCAAGGTCTTAAAGTTTGGGTTTGACTATGGTCCCACTCTCGGATCAACAAATAAACAATTAATGAAGGTACACCTCTCTATTTTCTAAAAAACATTCTATCTCTTATTAGGATTGTTTCATTTCATTTCTGTCGTCCTGAAATTTTCTCATAAATCTTATTTCTAGTATTTTTAGTTTTTATTGCCATTATGAATGAGATTTTAAAAATTATATTTGCTAACTGGTTATTTGGGATACCCAAGAAAACTGTAGTTGTTTACAAGTTAACCCTGTATCCTTTATAATCTTACTGCTCTCTCTCACTAACTGTAATAACTTCAGTTGATTCCTCATTATTTGCACTACATAATCTCTTAATTTCTATAGGTAATAATTTTATCTCCTCCTTTCTAAAATAAAGATATCTTTTTTTCATTGTACAACTACATTGTCAGAACCCTCCCAAAATGACATTAAATAACAGTGATAGCAAGTATCTTTGTTTTGTATTTTATTTCACTGGGGATGCCCCCAGTGACTCCACATTAAGTATGACACTGGTTGTGGGCTCTATACCTCTCACAGAACTAGTTTTTGAGTTCTATTTTACTGAGCGTTACCAGGAATGGATCCTGAATTTCATCATCAAATGCTTTCCTTATACTGAGATAATTATGACTTTCCTTGAAGAACAGAGTACCATGTGTTCTCACTCATAAGCAGACCCTGAGCAATTACCATAATACTATAAGAAAGGGATTGGCAGTAGCGGGATACTACCGGGGTGGGGGGAGGGGACACAACATCAATAAAGGTCCCTGATCTCAAATCAGGCACAGTGGGGACCAAAGGGAGGCCCAAACTTTACCTGTATGATGACCACTTGTATACCTAATCCTGAATTGTACTCCACATCTTTAAAATAAAAATAAATTATGACTTTCCTCTTTAGCTACTCACCATAACTATTACCAATATATTTTATATCAAAAAAATATATATATATTTTATATCATAAAACCGTATTTTCTATTCAAATCCCACTTGGTTTGGCTATACGAGTTTTTTTTAATACATCCAAATAAAAATTAACTTTGTTTATCTCATTCTTATGCAGTTTGAATTTCATTTTAGTTGAACTAAACTATAATTTTAAAAACTACACCCACAGATATTCACTGCCTGTCTTCAGTGTCTCCTTGTCACCTCCTCCCCCCAGGCCCAATTCATTCCTCATGACACTCACTGAGCCACTCTTTTAAGCCACAAATGTGGCAGCTTCTCACTCAAGCTCAGAAATCTGCAACACCGTCATGTTTTCTGTATTGTAAAGTACACACCTCTTAGCATGATAAGTACAATCCCTTAAAATATGGGCCCAAAGTACGTTTTAATCTTCATTTCAACCATGATCCCTAAACGTCACTCATTTGGGATTCCTCTTCTCATAATTTGCCTGAAAGGTCCTTCTGAATCTTCTTCATTGGGACAACTCGTTTCTTTCTTGGACCAACACAACTGCCACCTCATCTGTGGCCCTCCCCAGTACTCCCTTGCCAAGTCATTCCTGGCTCTGCTGTGTCCCCGGAGCAGTCAGGCCTGCCCCAGCCTGACTTGTGTACAGGTACTCTTTCAGAGCAGAAATTAGGAAACCTCTGTGAAGAGTCAGACATTCGATATTTCAGAATCTCCAGGCCTCATCTGCATATCTCTGTTGTACTTTTTCTTCACATTTTAATAATATAAAAACCATTGTAGTCTCACAGGTCATACAAAAGCAGGCCAGCAGTGAGGGGCCATGCTCACCTCCTCCTGAAATAGAGGCTAATCACTTCCATTGGACTATGAGCTAACAAGATGGAGGAGGGGAACCTCTAATCCATATCCCCTAGCTCCTGACATACAAAGGGTATTCAAGTCACTGAAGGCAACTGACCCGGAACACTGGTAACTAATTTATCCTGAGGAGTCAAATAAACGTCCATGGACAATATTCCCAACCCTTGAACAATTTCAACAAGAAGTAATTTTGGATTTTGAGTTGCTTAGACATCTGGGCATTACAAGGGAGTCATGTTTCTGGGAATGGCAGGGAGGTGGAGAGGGCTGGATGCTTTCTGCTTCATTTAGGAAGACACCATAGTTTTATGATACTCAGCCAAAGAGCCCCTCCCACCGCAGATGCAGGAACAGGGCTGCTTCTCCTATCATAGAGTTCATGACTAGACTTTCCCCTGGGCCTCCGTATAAAATTTAACTCCAGCTAACTCCAGCTTCTCAGTAGTCCACTCAGTTTCCCATCACAGATCATCATCTAGATTCTTGATGCTGTCTTGAATACTTGCCAGGTATCCAACCTAGCTATCAGCAATTCATCTCCCTCCCATCTCCTGAAAATGAGAGAGAAAGCATTGTCTAAATCATTAAATGCTAGACACACACTGTCAGTCATCATTATTACACTATTGCTATCACCCTTCTCCCCGGTTCTCCCAACCAGAAGTGACCCAGAAAGGAGAAGGGCACGCCTCTCTGGCTGAGAAACCCACACTGCTAAACTGATAAAGATGAGTGGCACTTACTGGCATCATCTCTGTCATAACTCTGGAGACTCAACTCCTTGCTGCTGGGGCTCCCGACACCATGAGCTGATGAGGAAGAGGAGGAAGCCAGGAAGAAACATAGCCATTGTTAAGGAGAAATGGCCCAGCTATGGGCCTGGTTTCTGAGGCCAAGAGTCCAGCATTAAGTTTCCAGAGGAATGAGGCAAACTCGAGGTTAATTCCACTCCTATCTACATCAAGCAGGTCAACCTGGCCCCAGTGCAGCAAGAAGACAGAAGGTCTAGACAGTGTCGACTCTTCAAGCCAGACAGAGCTTTTGAAGGAGTTCAGCCAGCATCAAACTTTCCTCCCCTACCCCCATGCATAGACCTGGTTACAAAGCCAACCAGGAGCTAGATGTGGTGTTGGATCTGCCCTCTGCAGGCTGGGGTCAAGGGAGGACTCCAGGTCTAGCAACTGTCTGATGGATGAGCAGGAAGGAGCCTGTTACAGTGCGTCACCCCGTAAGAGACATGTTATACCCAGCAGAGCATCCAGTTCCTAGGGCACCAGGTGGTTTTCAACAAAACAAAATTCCAAACTCCACTTCCTAGTGGAGGTGAGGTACCACCTATGTGCTTCAGAATGGGGATGAGGGGGAATCCAGAAATTACTGCAGCTGAGCGAGGGCCAGTGAAAACCCACCTTCTGCAAACAAAATCAGCAGCCCCTGACAGACTAGATCAGATGACCTAGTCACATAGAGGATCTCGCTCCCTGGACCTTAGCTGTCCCCCAGGAGAAACCATTATTATCATCATCATCATCATTGGTAGAGACAAGGTCTCACCATGTTGCCCAGGCTGGTCTCAGATTCCTGGGTTCGAGCAATCCTCCTGCCTCAGCCTCCCAAAGTGCTGGGATTACAGGCATGAGCCACCTCACCTGGCTAGAAGCCATTATTTCACACACACTGTAGTGGCCAAAAGTTCAATCCGAGAGACCACCAAGAGCCAGTTCTGATCAAAGTTCAAGAGGGTCTTTATTTCCAAGCTCGAGCCTGGACCTCTGTCAACCACCGATGCAGCGGAGTACACCCAGAGGCCCTGACTTCCTTAAGCAGATGTCTTTTATGCTTTTACACAAAGGGAGAAGGAGTTTGGGGGGGACTTTCCAGTCTTGTTACCATTTAATTGGGTAGTAACCCCTGGCTGTCAGCTCAATCGTGGAAGACTGGCTAGCTTGACTCGGGCTGACCTTGGCCCACTAACTGGTGAAGTTGCAGAGACATTTGGAAACTTTAGGTGATTTTCCCCTGGCACCCGATTGGTTGTTGCTAAGGGGAAAGTGGGTCAAGGGAAGGGGTTGAAGCTTGAACTAGAGCTTGCAGTTTTTCCCATAACTGAAACTTTAAACAGCTACAGGTCATGTTTTAAAGCAGAAAACTAAAATGGCTGTGCTACTGTCCACAAGCCGATGACATATTTATTGGGTTATAGCATGCTCTTAACCTAAGTTTATGGTATCCTCTATTACGGTTCTCTCAACACAAGATCTGAATTCAAATGATCTGTGTTCTAATTGTCCTAGCTAAGAATCGAGCTCTGCCCTGTGTAGAACCACAGGCCCTCTGCAGGTAGCCAGGTGAGCAAGAGGACATCACTCCATCCCAGCCACTCCCACTAGCCCAGGGCCATATACTGCCCTGTGCTTCTCTTTGAGGGGTCTCCCAAGCACAGCTATGCCACTGTGTGACCAATACAAAATCAGAGTTGAATGCGTCCGTAAGTAGAGGACCGAGAAAGCAAACAAAAACAAAAGGGTGAGAAAATGACAAATGTTGCATGCACACACAGAATGGGTCAGCACATCTCTCAAACTTAACATGATGTCCACGGGTGCACCGTCGGGCCTTCTCCACAGTGCGTTCCTAAGGCAGCCTTTCCACCCTGGCCTGTATATAAACAGAAGAGCTTCCTTGCTCAAAATCACCCTTTCTCACAGCACACTTAGCAATGCCAGCACCACTGACAGCCAGACAGTGATGCCAAAGCATGTTCCATATTCTCTTCACACTGAAAACAGTCACGTACCAGTGCTTAAGAAGAAAGATGCATGTTCCTGAAAATCAGGGGATGTGGTTAAACATGGGGGCTGCAGTCTCCACGTGGAAGTAAAGAAACCAACCAAAATGAAACTTACGTTAGTCAACCCACAGTGCTTTACTAAGCATGCAAAAGGTAAGGAGAGAAAATAGAGAATAGAAGGCGTGGTACATTACCCAAGAGCCCTGCTAACGACCGCATGTCCTTCTCCATCAGCATGTAAATCTCTTCCTCAGAGAAGCGGCCAATGCCGTGGCCGTGCATTTCGCGTTTCACAATTCCTTTCGTTATGTGGCACACGACCCACCTCAGCAGGTTGCTGAAGGGACCACCACCACTAAGAGAGAGCATCTTCCGGGTCTCATTGAGATTGTCCACCCACTGGCAATAAGCTAATGTCCTGGAATTGTGTGGAAACAAGTTACTACTGTGCATCAGGTACATGTCAGCTCCCCAAAGTCACTGTCGGGTGAGGTGGTCAGAGTCTAGTACACTCTGGAAGAACTGAATAATCGCAGCTTTTACAGAGAGCAATCTGCATGGCAGATTCACAACAGGCTCTAGCCGGTGCCTGGACTTATGGGGCTGTGGGAGAAACAGTAAAAAAAAATCCAGATAACGATGCCACCAAACCTCTCCTGACACCCGCCCTCAGATCCCCCCACTTTCCCCTCCCCTCCCAGTATCACACTTCTGCTTTCTGTTAGGCAACCCCACAGAAAACAAGTAGAAACCCACTTTGAAAGTCTTTTAGTTGGGACAGTGAGCACCTATGAGAACACAGGACAGGAAGCAGTAGTGACAGAGTGCTGGCATCATTCTCTCTCCTGACCAAAAAGATGTCTCCACATGTGTACGTTTTGTGTTTATGAATTAAGGTGTACATGTTTGCTGTACATTCTGTGTATGTTTTATATTTCATAATATAAAAGGGGGTTTTGTTTGTTTGGTTGTTTTTAGATAATGTTGCCCAGACTAGAATCGAATTCCTGGGCTCAAGCATCCCCCACCTCAGCCTCCCAAGTGGCTGGGACTACTAGGAGTGCACCACCATACCCAGCCTTTATGCCTTTTTGACAAAGAATCAGGGAGTAGGTCTAGCTATTTATTATTATTACAAATCATATTTAAATATTATGTAAATTCTTCACCCTTCAGAAAAACCGACTCTTTACCTCAGTTGCTCTCAAGGACTCCAAAGTGAATATAAACACTAAGGGCGCTTGGTTGAATCCTTTTCCCAACTGGATGGTGCTTGTGGCAAGCGTACCCATCTGGTGCTCCTATATACACTATAATATGTAAGGACAGTTCAGTGGCCATTCACTGTTCATACATCCTGCTGGCTGCGAAACCCAGGCCTTTGTTGATTTTGTTGTCCAAACCCATGCAGTCACAAGAATGTTTTCATGGCTAATTGTGTAGGTAGACAGAAATTAAAAGGGTTTCCCATGAAGGCTGAAGAGAATATAGCCATGGAAGTACAGGCATAAGACATTTTCATTTTTCCTCATAACAAGCAAAGATATATTGGCATCATCGATACTCCTAATACTGGTTGATAGAATAGTAATGACCTCTTCAAAAAAAAAAATAGGAAGCTGGGCATAGGGGCAGGCACCTGTAGTCCATCCCAACTACTCAGGAGGCTGAGGTGGGAGGGCGGCTTGAGACCAGGAGTTTGGGGCCAGCCTGGGCAACATAGCGAAATCCTGTCCCAAATAATTAAATACATAAATAGGAATTTATGAAGTTGGAAAATGGCACAGCCATGTATGACCCCAGGACTCTGCATTTTTTGTAAAAAAAAGGTTTTAAAAAATCAAGGCTGGGTATGATGGCTTATACCTGTAATCCCAGCACTTTGGGAGCTTGAGATGGGAGGATCACTTAGCCCAGGAATTCAAGACCAGCCTAGGTAACATAGTGTGACCTCATTGCTACAATAAAAAAAAATTAAAAATTAGGCCAGGTGTGGAGGCACATGCCTGTAGTTACGGTTACCCAGGAAGCTGAAACAGAAAGATAGCCCGAGCCAAGGAGGTAGAGGCTATGGTAAGCATGACTGTGCCACTGTACTCCAGCCTGGGCGACAGAATGAGATCCCAACTAAAATAATAATAATAATCAGAAGAGTGAAAAATATTTTTTAGAGAGAACACAAGGGATGGTAGTAAATTGTAGCAATAATAAGATGCTATTTTCCACTTCAAGAAAAAGATAGGCATTTTGATCATTTTATATGGTTTGTTCTTTTAGGCTACTCTCCACTTTAAAAAAAAATGAAAATAAGAAAGGTTTCTCTAAAATTTTTGAAGCGTTCGTGATTTTTCTTTCTTTTTTTTTTTTTTTGAGTTGGAGTCTCACTCTGTCGCCCAGGCTGGAGTGCAGTGGCACATGCACAGCCACTCCAGCGTCGACCTGCTAGGCTCCGGCAATCCTTCCGCCTCAGCCTTCCAAGTAGCTGGAACTACAGGCGCGTTACCATGCCCGGCTAATTTTTGATTTATTATTGAGATGAGGTCTCGCCAAGTTGCCCAGGCGGGTCTCGAGCCTGCGGGCTCAGGCAATCCACTTGCCTCAGTCTCCCAAAGTGCTGGGATTACAGGTTGAGGCACTGAACCTGGTCACATGATTTTTACTGAAAAGTCCTACAATCAATTTCAACATACTCTTTGTGCTGCAACCATAATCCTTTTTCACAGAATGCCCACAAGTCTGGTTAGAACACTTTGTGTGCCCCTTTTTTGCAAGTCCCTCAAAATAAAGTATTTGGAAGTCAAGAAATGGACTTTTCTGAAAACAGGAAAAAGTGCATCACAAAGGTGATGAATTAATGTACCCAGTCAGAGCATTCAATAGATCTTTTGATATAAAATGCCCCACATTTGTTCTAGTAAATTCTATGTAAGCATGAAAACAGAACACTTTTCTATTTGCTCTTCTTTAATACCTGCAGTAATTAAGTTGGCGATTTTCACAATCCATTAGAATAATTCAGCACTTTGATTCTAACTGCACTAGGTCTAAATTCACAATAAAGCAGTGACACAGTCTTTGATTATCTTGGAAGTCAATGGTCTGAGAATAAAACTAAATTATCCTAAATTGAGCATGACCAAGTAATAATAGCATCTACAAAGCATCTACAGTGTAAAAGTGATGAATATGTGGCTCTAGACTGACAGGTTGATATGAAAGGGGGAAAAAACCCTTGTACGCAAATTACACAGGTTGGATCGTAAGCCTAACTGATCCGGATAGATGAGCAGAAGCTTGCCAGGCCGGGCAGAGGGTGAAGAACTTGAGGAAAGGTGGGTGCATCTGAGGAAATCCAGAAGAAATGAGGCTGGAAGGGTGGACACAGTTCAGACCAGGACAGGCCCGAGGCAAAGGAAGCTTGACTTTGTTCCAAAAGCAAAGGTTACCACTGGAAAGTATGAAGCAAATCAGCCGGGCATGGTAGCGCGTGCCTGTGGTTCCAGCTACTTGGAAGGTTGAGGCGGAAGGATCGCCGGAGCCTGGCAGGTTGAGGCTGCGGTGGCCGGGAGCGGCCACTGCGCTCCAGTCTGGGCGACAGAGGGAGACTCCAACTCAAAAAAAAAAGAAAGTATGAAGCATGCAAGAAGTATTATCAGATTTGTGGCAGCATGAAGAAAGGGCTGGAAGGAAGAAAGTCCGATTATAAGAGAACGGCAAAACTGGACAAGAAATGACACCCCAAGGTAATAGCAGAGCGGAGGCTGAATACCAAATTCTGGGAGAAATATTGAGGTGGAAGAAAAAGAGTCTATTGACCAGAGGATGGAAAGGATTACGTACAAGGAAAAATTAGGTATTTTCCCCCAAGTTGATGGTTTGCGTGGATGATAATACCCTTAACCAATAATGGATAACTCAAGGTGGTACAGACGTGGATGACGAAAGATGAATTAACCTGTCACAGATGAAGGTCCCCCCAGGTGAAGATGTCTAAAAGACTGGGAACTCAGGAGATAGATTTGGAATCCAGAGAGTTGGTGGGCAGGGGTATGTGGGTGGTGGTTTTAAAGCTGTGAGAGGAGATAAAGGTCTCCTAAGAATGTTTCTAGGATGAATAGTGCTGGGGAAGCTACCATTTAAGGGCAAGCCAGAAGATGAGAAGGTCGGACTGAAAGAGGCAGCTTGGAGAGGAGTAGGGATGTCTCCTTCTCTGAGACGGAGAGAAGGAGAGTGAGGGGCCACACCCTTGCAAGGGAGAGGGTCAGAATTGCTACCTGATAACTTCAACTTCCTCTGCAGAGTGGGCAAAGAGGGCTTATGTACCCAAGATGAGGACTTAGCAATGGGTAGAGAGTTATAGGAGTCACAAACAGGAGCAGGAGAGGCAGTTATTCTGGGCCACACAGCTCGGCAGAGAAGAGACCCCCATCAATGCATGAGTGTTAGGTCCTCTACCTGCATTCGTGGGTTGAACACAGGGTACAGCAAAAGGAATGCTGGGCTGATTCAGAATTGTGCAGCCACAAGTAACCTCAGAAACTGTCTGGTCTTCCTCTCTTCTTTCTGCTCTGCTCTCGATTTCTCTTCCTCTCTTTCACTCTCTTTGCCCAATATTATAGACCAATGTCAGGGAGGAGAAGCAGATGAGGGCCAGGCATGTTCTTTAAAGGCCGAGGTCAGTAAAATGTGTAGCAACTTTAATAGCCAAGACAATAAGTGCTTCATAGATTCCTAAATCAACTACTTCAGGTAGAAGACATCACATGACACATACTTCCTTATTGCAACCAAGAATCCATCACATGACACATACTTCCTTATTGCAACCAAGAATCCACCTCCTCTTACAACCAAGATTCCTAAAAACTGTTCACATGGTGGGGGCTTCCACCCTCATTAATCCACCAAAATCACTCTTTTCAAGGTCAGCAGTCAACTCCTTGCTGCAACATTCACATAAGCCATCTTTCTCTATGTAGCACTCTTGAACTTTCTGCAGCATCTGACATTATCAGTCTCTTTCTCGGAACTGCCCCTTAGCTTATGTGTCTATAGCTTTTCCTTCTATCCCTCCATGTTCCCAACACCTCAATCTTTATGTCTCTTGTCTTCTTACACCACACTTATGGGACAATCTCATTCATACCCATCCATGAGTTTACACTGATGAATTCCATACCCATATCCAGCCCAGACCTCAGTCCTGAGATCCACAAATCCCACCTGGATGACCCTCAGGATCTGCAAACCAACATTTCCAGAGGGGGACTCATCGCCTTTGCCCAAATCTGCTTCTCCTCATCCAAGCCAGAATCTTAGGAGCTAGCCCTCAATGCCTCACTCCTTCACTCCTGACTGCCAGTCACCCTGTGAATCTGCCCTTTCTCCAGCTCCATGATCACTGTAGCTCAGCCAGTC